ATTCTTTGGGACAACAGTAAGCCATAATTTTTCTCTTTCTCCTTGCCTATATTCTGATGCCGGTTCTCCATCAATGATGCTCTGTTCTTTCTCTTGCTTCTCTTCTTTGCCTGTGAACAGAGGGGCTGGAGAGGGGAATATGCAGCTGAACGTCCCAACAGGGCAGTTCAGGGTCAGCCATTTAGAAAGGACATCAGACGTGAAGGTAAGTAGAGCTCTAGGGGAGGAGTGGACAGATGGGAAGCCAGAAGGATTTGGTGTTTCCTGGAAACCCTATTTACACAAAGATAATGCAAACACATTGTGGGTAAAGCAATATAATGGCAAGTTAATTCAGTACTGTTAATCTGGAACTCGCAAAGGAATGCAGAATCCACAAATGCCCTAGCACGGGAATAAACTTCTGCCCCTTAGTAGACAAGAAACTGCAATAACTTTTTCTACAATGATTTGTAGTAGAATAATAAATGAGTCATTTATTCACATATGAAAGCTCTGCTTCTGTTAAGACGCAAAGCATTACAATCATAAATTAAGCACATCATGGATTAAACTTCAGAATGACAGTCTACTGTTTATGGGAGGTTGTAATTAAAGCAATTATAAATGAAAAAAAAAAAAAACGCTAGTCTGTCTAGTCCAGTGGTTCTCAAAGTGAGGTCCAGGGGTCCATGACTTATAGCTGGGGGTCTATGCTTTGAAATAAAATTTTAATTACAGTGAAAAAATAAAAACCGACCATTATCAAATTTATTATATTTATGATAGAGTTCTTATAGTTATTAGTCTCTTGAACTTAATCAAATAAGTTTAATCCGAATCTCAATAATATAAATGTAGGCCTATAAATAAAAGACCTAATGTGTTTTGTTGGTGAAAAGTTCAAGAATAGAAAGTGCTACGGATTTAATAATTAACAAAATATTTTTGTACACATTTAAATAATGATAATCAAATAACTGAGAGGGAATGTGGAATTTATTTTACAGGGTCCCTGGCTACAATAAGTTTGAGAACCTCTGGTCTTATATACAAGTTATGAGCTTAGTACAAAGTCAGATAACAGATCACAATAGTAACTTTTTGACTATAGACTAGAGAAAGAATAGATTCCAGAATATGTGTTTTTCATACCCCTGTCCAAATGGCATCAAGTGTAATGATCAGTTCACCAATTAAGCCATGTTTCATGTGAATCCGTTCAATATGCCGCAGAAGTTGCTTCCAGGAGTCTGACAGGAGGAAGGCTGCACTGAACACACAGCACTACACCCATGCACCCACACACCCATGAAAACACACACACACACACACACACACACACACACACACACACACACACACACACACACATTTAGAATAGCTTGAAATGGTCAACTATCCATTATTCATACTAAAGCCTCCTAGCATCCTGATATCTCATATAACCACAGAAGTGTTTTGCTATCTTTGTACATAACATATTTCCTGAATTAATTGTGGTATAATCTACAATAAATAGTCACATAATTCAGAGCTAGCTGTGATGGATTAATTTATAATAGAAATGAGATTTAATTATTGAATATTTATTAGTTAGGTAGCTAGTTTTCATTTACTGATGTATTTACTTTTGTTCCCAAATTATACATAAAGCAGTTTTTAACTTCTTTAAAGTTTGTCATTTGCTGCCTAATTGCTTACTTTTGTTTGCAGTAACTGTGTACAAAAGGGAATCTGGATTGAAGGGATGGATAGTCATGTGACTATGACAAATCTTGTATATTGGCTAATACACTGCATAACGTATACAGTATATACTTATGTACTATGTAGTAGTTACAGCATACAAGTATACTTTAAATGCACCAAAGTGTACATTTCCTTGTCGCTTGTGTGGTACCCTCTAGAGCAGGGGTTCTCCGATTTTGCAGCCACGGACGGTAAAATAAATTCCATGTATCCCCTCAGTACAGATTTACTTTGTGAACATAATTCGATCATAAATCGGCTAATTATTTACATGAGCAATCATAATTTTGCTATTTCTTTAAGTTAAACAGCTTAGTAAATAGTAGAACTGATTCCACACGTTGGGTAGGTCCAAGTTATATTATTTATACGTCTGTGTGTTACTAAAGTTGGTCCTCCTTTATCAATCTGTAAGTAAAGTTATAGGTAAAAGTTATATGTAAAAGCCAAACGAAACAAAATATTTCAGCTGGATTCCGGAAAAGCTGATCTGCTTCGCATTCACTTGTATATGTCGATAAATAGCAATCACTCATACAGTAAATGATCCGGGACACGCACGGCACAGCTGATTTGTATTTAAGGACACCCACAAAACTCCATAAAAGGCAAAGCTCACAGAGTGCAAAGTACAAAAATGACTACTAGATGGCAAAAAAAGAACAAATTTCTCAGAGGCAGTAGTGAGAGTATGGTACTATGCGAAAGTCTTTGCACAAGCAAACAGGAATTAAATTAAATGTTTTACATACAAAAAAAGACATAATAAAGAGCAGTAAACCATAACAAAACATACAAAGTCACACATATTTGGTGTGACATCCCACTTGCTCCTTGTTTTTGTATATAAAACCCAGCTGTCATGTCACGTCAAACTAGCGACTCCATTAACACAACTACAACTACCAAAGCTACACACAGACCCATCACCTTCTCCTGAGAACTAATCAAACACACCTGTTCCCAATTACACTCTCAATCACACCACATATAAAAGAAACTACTGATTCGCTAATTCTTCATGAAGTATTACGCTCAGTTGCCATTTGTCTCTGGCGTTTACCAAGCCTTGATTTGGTGTGTAGTTATTCTGGGTTTGACTTTGTTTACTCTATCAGACTTGATTCTCTGCCCTGCCCGTTTTGTACTGTTTGCCTGATCGTGTGACCCTTGCCTGTTTTGTGTTTCGATTTCTTGCTATACCTTTGGATTTGTTTGCTGATTAAACTACCAAACTTGCAATTGCTTCCGTCTCATCCTCCATTATGTGACACCAGCATAATGGTTTTATTCTCTATTATACATGTTTGTTAACATGTAACATTTCATTTTTGTTTAAAAAGTAAAGTTTGGATTTATAAAATGTTTTTGTACTGACTCAATAATGCAGAAGTCATAAAATAAACATCAATAACAAAATTGTACAAAAAAAATGGTGTGCATCATTTTTGCGAGAATTACAAAAAAAAATTATTTAGCAGGGCAACCAGTGCAGCTGATTGGAAACCAAGAGTCCTCAACAACGCTGTCTTGGAAAAGCAGTACACTATAGCTGGAGAGGTGGAGAACATAAATAAAGAAAATAAAGTTTTCCATATACATTAAACAGATGGCTGAGATGCATCATGAGGTGCTGATGTGCGATAGCTGCATCCACACTTGGGTTGTCATAGGATGTAGGTTTCAGCTCATTGCAGGATGAGACATACCTTTTCAGTCACTTATGTGCCAGTAGCGAGAAATCCAACTACAGTCAAAACTTGGACATGCACAGGTTCTTTTTCGGCTGAGTTAGTGTTGGCTCTGAAGTGTTGCACAGCATTAAAAGAAGATTCCAATGGAACTGACTTCAGTTTCCATCCTCCAAATAAAAAATTCGTACTGGTCTTTAAATATCAGGTCACTGGCAACTCATTCAGTACTAAATCAGCTAATGGCCATCATCTGCACAGATCAGGCCACCCTCATTGTATACCGTGGCATTTTGTCTAATTTGTCTGAAAATGGATATGAGTTTACTTGTTGTCTTTATTTATTTATTTATTTATTTATTTAAGATTCATTATTTCTTTTATGCCATTAATATGGGTTCAAATTATGGGTTTAAAAATGATTAAATTTGTATGTGTAATTGAAAAACATTAGCAATTTAAACTTGACAATATACAACAACAACAATATATGTAATGGAATATTTGACTAGTCACTTGAAATAAGTGCCTGTTCTTCATGCTTGATAGAGTCCTGCAAATTGCTGACTGTTTCTCTCTTCAAATCATCCCATGGGTTTTCTGAACAGTAAAAAACTAAAGCAATAAAACTTAAATATAAACAGATAGAGGAATGGTTTTATTGCACATGCTGGCTCTAACAAACAATTTCAAACCAGAGCACTAGATCCATATATCAAAGCAATGTCTCTGCTCTGTCTTTACTGGAACTGTGTTATTTTAAAGCCCTAATGTTAATAAAGCTTACCTGTCAGTAACATTCTTTTATTGGCCCATCCATTATGTTACCTATCATGATTTTTTTTTTTTATGGCACCTCACTTTACGGCGAGTGAAAGTGTGTGTCTGTGTGTATGTAAAAATGAAGATAATCCATGTATTCAAATGCAGTGACTCAAACGTTATACATTATATGTAATTACAAATTACACGATTTGAATTGCATGAATATGATTTGAAGTTTACATTAGTTAGCCTTCTTGTGGATTAATAAAAGAGAAGGATAAGAAGGTTTTTTTCTGAATTTACAGAATTGTCATGAAGACCAAATTTCTTGTGTAAATGCTCATATGAATGATTTACGAACAAATCCATTTGTATCCAGCTTGATCAATGAGGCCCACTGCGACTAAACTCACTTATATATATATATATACACATATATATTCCCCAGACCCTACTCTGAGAACCACTGCAATAGGGTATATCTTTTGTAGCTGTTGTATATACATGGTAAGGTGAAAGTTGTGTACCTTCTAAAATTGTTTAAAATAAATATTTGCCTCCTAAAGTGCATTATTGCACCTTTAATTAACTTCCATCCATCTATTTTCCATACTGCTTATCCTACACAGGGTTGCAGGGTAGCGTGGAGCCTATCCAAGGGAACTCAAGGAAAAGCATAGGGGACACTCTGGACGGGGTGCCAACCCACACTACTAACAAATTGGAAATGGCACTCAGCCTACAATGTATGTCTTTTGACTGGGGGTGGAAACTGGAGTACCTGATGGAGAACATGCAAGCTCCACGCACACAGGGCGGAGGCAGGGTTCAAACCCGCAACCCTGGACGTGTGAGGCAAACGTACTAACCACTAAGCCACCGTGCCCCACTCCTTTTAATTAAGTTTTTCAATTAATAAGTTATCCCCAGTTCGATCCTGAGCCAAGTTTATTGTCTGTGTGGAGTTTCTGTGAATGTTCTCCCTCTGTCTTTGTGGATATAAACTGCATCTGGGTGAGAATGTGTGTGTGTGTGTGTGTGTGTGTGTGTATGCGCGCAATGTGCCTTGCGATGGACTGGCAACTTACCTAGGGTGTATTCCCTGCCCTGTGCTCTCCAACTAGTCTCTGAATCCACCATGACCCTGACCAGTTACTGTGAGTGATGGTTCACTTCATGCAGCTTTGCAGGTACAAGAAACATACTAAAGGTACAAAAGCGTTGTACGCTTGATGGTGACAAGGAAAGGTACGGTTTAGTACGCACAAACCACAGTGAGACAAACATTTCCTCACCGAGTCTTCACACTGTGTGCTGCCGTTGAAATGATGCTGCACGTAGTAGTTTTTCGGAAACACGCTTGGCTGTAATAAAGATACAAAAACGAACATCATTCACTGCAGTGTCTGACATAACACTCACTCGTCTGAATACCTGAAACACAATCAATACATGACTACATTCTGGGTTATATCAGAAACCTACTGGAAAGCAATAAACAAATGAAACCTAGACACCATCGAAGAAATTCGAATGGTTTCCGCTACAAAATCCAGTACAAACTATCAGCTAACCAATTCAACCATTACCATTATTGGTCCTTAACAGACATAAGTCACTTGTTTCCATTAAAACCACTACAATTACCATTATAACCATTACAGATTCTATGAGGATTTCTATTGTTTTTTGTTCATGTTTTTTTTTTCCAGCAGGGAAGGTTTAAAGCTCCACACACAGAGAATGGAAAACTGGCTGATTGACTCACAAATCCGGACTGTTCTTCATGCTTGATGGAGTCCTGCAGATTGCTGACTGTTTCTCTCCTCAGCTCATCGCAACCGCTTCCTCGAACAGTGAACACCGATAGAAGCAAGAAAACTAACAGATAAACAGATAGACGAATGGGTTCATCGCGCACGCTGGCTCTAACAAGCATTTTCAGACAAGACTGTATGGCTGGATCCGTATATCCAAGCACGCCCCTCTGGCTCGGTGTCTTTACTGGAACTGGGTTAGATGAAAGCCTGCACGTTAATAAAGCTTACCTGTCGGTAACATGCTTCTACCGGCCCAGCCGCTGAGTTTTACCCATCATGCTTTGTTTTTGATGACGTCCTACTTTATGGCGAGTAAAAGTTTAATGACTGTCTGTAAATTCAGAGCTGCTTTCCGCGTGCGTGTGACTAACTGCGAAGTAATGTCCTGGTCACGAGCACCCCCTTACACGCACGCACGCACGCGCGCGCACACACACGGTCTCTCTCTGTCCCCTCTGAGGCTTGTGTGTTGCCCTTCTGGTACTTTCCACACTCTATTCAGATATCCTCTTTCGTTTTTACTTTCACTCTATACCTCGTCTCCCCCTCTCTCTTGTGCCCTTCATTCAGCCCTGTCCTAATCGCAGCAGCCCTGGAGACTCCAGAGACTAGCAGCCCTCTTCATCTCTCTCTCTCTCTCTCTCTCTCTCTCTCTCATGCCCTTCCCTTCTCTAGGGAGAAAATCAGTTCTCCCCTCCTCCGCTTCGGTTCAGCTCTTACCAGGGCTGAAAACATGTGGAGTGTAGAGTGGATCTATTTCTTTATGTGGAACCAGTCCCCTCAGCATTGATTTCTGATTGGTAATTGATATGTTTCACTCTCTTGCTCTGGTTCATACACGAGTTAACTTTACCTCCGAGTGTCTACTTTAATTTTCTCAAGTTGTAGTCTAATACAAAGACGCAACAGCATGGACAGGTCTGGACATGCACTTAGGCCTTCTGTTTTCCATTTCAGCCCCCTCCTCTTAAGGGTCTGTTTCATCCCGGGGGGTCAGTGACTATGAAAGAAGTGTGCTTGTTAGTCATCTCTTTGGGCTGAGACATGACATTTATGCTAAGTCATTCTAGGGCACTGTGTGCTCGTTGTCAAATGACCCAATTTGGTGACTACATCGTTCAGTTATGCACACTGCAAAGAAGTGATAGGCCACCACTGTGATAATTAGTAAAGCCCTTACTCACACTTGTACTGTATGCTTTTTGTTGTTTGTCCCTCTGCAAAGATACCAAACTATTTTCTGGTCACTGCTGTGGTACCATGAACGTTAGATCTTTAGTACCTTTTAGTGTGAATCTTTACAACGTTGAAAGTAATTTAAGGTACAATATATTGGCTTTTACAGTACTGTGTAAAAGTCAAAGGCCACCCCCTTTTGTTTTCAATCAAATGGCCATTCAGTATTGTTAGTTATTTGGTTGCAAACAGCAATGTGGGGGAAATGTCAAACAGCGATGCGGTGCTTATTCATGAAGGTAATGAACAATAATGATGGGAAACTTGATTATAAGTAAATAATGCAAGGATGTTTGATTGAAAGGAGGGGGGGCATGGTGGCTTAAGCTCAGTTCACAACGGATTAATTTAACCTGGGTTTAGTGTTACAGAAGGTTTTCTAAAAGTCGCTGCAATCTTCACCAGAAGGGGCACGCTCAGTTTGGAAAAAGTACGAAAATATAACTGACATGGGGCGCAGGGTGGCTTAGTGGTTAGCATGTTCGCCTCACACCTCACACCATTCCCCCCATGGCGGAGTTTGCATGTTCTCCCCGTACTGCGGGGGTTTCCTCCGGGTACTCCGGTTTCCTCACCCAGTCCAAAAACATGCATGGTAGGCTGATTGGCATGTCCAAAGTGTCCGTAGTGTATGAATGGGTGTGTGAATGTGTATGTGATTGTGCCCTGCGGTGGATTGGCACCCTATACCCCGCCTTGTGTCTGATGCTCACTGGGATAGGCTCCAGGTTTCCCCGTGACCGTGAAAAGGATAAAGCAGTATAGAAGATGGATAGATGAATAACTGACATGACCAGTTCCCAAAGGGTTAAAATCAGAGAGAAGATCTGGTAAATGTTAAATTACCTAACCTCCTCAAATTAAATCATATTCCTGTCCGAATATCCCTTTAGTGTTTCATGTGTGCCTCCAGGGTTGGCGTTTGAATCCTACCTCTGCCCTGTGTGCAGAGAGCTTGGATGTTGTCCCTGTGCTTTGGGGGTTTCCTCCCTTCCTTTTTCTTTCTTCCTCCCCCAATCCAAAGACATGTGTTGAGACATGCATTGATTGGCATATCTAAATTGTTCGCAGTGTGTGAATGTGTGTGAGATTGTGCCCTGCAACATGTTGACACCCAGTCCAGGGTGTCCCACAACCTTGTGCCTGTACCTGGGATAGGCTGTCCCACGACTCTGTGTAGGACGAGCGGTACAGAAAATGAAATTAACCTTGTACAATTTCTCATCATTATTGTTTGCCACCAAATAATGAACAATAAGTGCTGAAAATACAAGGTTTTCTCTGACCTTTGCACAGCGTTGTACTTTTTAAGGTTTCCTCTAAAAGCGAATTAATGGTACATCACATGTACCTTCCCAGGTAAAAGAGACAGTATGTTCTGAAGGTACAAGAGATTTGCCCATGATGGTACCAACCAGTGACAAGAAAATGTACAGTTTTGTACCTTTATTTTTAAGAGTGTTAACCCTTAAAGGATCTGTGTAGAAACCTTACACAGAACAGCCTTACATACATGTTAAAGGACCTGAAAGAATTTATATTGTTTGTATTTGTAATAAATACAAACAATATAAATTCTTTCAGGTCCTTTAACATTTATGTAAGGCTGTTCTGTGTAAGGTTTCTTTTTGAGTTATAAATATAGATACAGGTCACTGATACAACTACAAAGACAACTGATGTCTACACTTATATACACAATACACAATACACTATATATATATATGTCTTAATACCTTATAATTATAATAACAATAACTTAGTACCAGCTTACAGACCACATTCATTTAAAACATTTGCGATTTATTTTTCTCTGGTTGTCTGCAATGACATTATTTTGTACTTCCCTTTAGACATGTCTCCAGATGAAATTAGCCAGTTAGATCATAAGAGAGTGATTCAAGTGTGTGGAAAGTAAAACATATTTACTTTGGTTTAGCCTGGAAAAAGGGGTGCTCAAGAATTTTTGCTTGGGTAATGGATCTTTAACCATACACACAAGTCTCTCTATATATACAGTATCTCACAAAAGTAAGTACACCCCTCACATTTTTGTAAATATTTGATTATATCTTTTCATGTGACAACACTGAAGAAATGACACTTTGCTACAATGTAAAGTAGCGAGTGTACAGCTTGTGTAACAGTGTAAATTTGCTGTCCCCTCAAAATAACTCAACACACAGCCATTAATGTCTAAACCACTGGCAACAAAAGTGAGTACACCCCTAAGTGAAAATGTCCAAATTGGACCCAATTAGCCATTTTCCCTCCCCTGTCATGTGACTTGTTAGTGTTACAAGGTCTCAGGTGTGAATGGGGAGCAGGTGTGTTAAATTTGATGGCATCACTCTCACTCCCAGCTGCCAGTGTTGCCAGCAGGCTGAAGGGGTGGAGGGTCAGACTGTCAGAGCTCAGACCATATGCCGCACACTGCATTAAATCGGTCTGCATGGCTGTCGTCCCAGAAGGAAGCCTCTTCTAAAGATGACGCACAAGAAAGCCTGCAAACAGTTTGCTGAAGACAAGCAGACTAAGGACACGGATTACTGGAACCATGCCCTGTGGTCTGATGAGAACAAGATAAACTTATTTGGTTCAGATGGTGTAAAGCGTGTGTGGCGGCAACCAGATGAGGAATACAAAGACAAGTGTGTCTTGCCTACAGTCAAGCATGATGGTGGGAGTGTCATGGTCTGGGGCTGCATGAGTGCTGCCGGCACTGGGGAGCTACAGTTCATTGAGGGAATCATGAATGCCAACATGTACTGTGACATACTGAAGCAGAGCATGACCCCCCCTCCCTTCGGAGACTGGGCCACAGGGCAGT